ATCTTGGCCTCATGAAACATAAGTACTGATGCCCTAGCTGGTTTGGCTCAGCGGATAGAGTGTCGGCCTGCAGACTGAAGGGTCCCGGGTTTGATTTCTGTCAAGGGCACATGCCCAGGTTGCAGGCTTGATCCCCAGTAGGAGGCCTGCAGGAGGCAGCCGATCAATGATTCTCTCTCATCATTGATGTTACTATCTCTCTCTCCCTCTCCCTTCCTCTCTGAAATCATTTTAAAAAAAGAAAGAAAAGTAAGCACTGAAATTGAGTTTAGCAGTTTAGAGTTGGCACTGAATCTCTCACTGCCCTGCCACCCTGTTTCCAGTTATCTTTCAGTTCCATCTCCTGCCCTGAGGCCATTTAATAGGTCATTACTAAGGGATTGCACAACCGCAACAAAAGCAAGATAGAATCAAAAGGATGTTTAGAGCTTCAAAGACATCAGCAACCTTCTTACTGTAAACGTGAGAAAAGGCAGGTCTGGATAGCAATATAAAACGAAATGGAGCCTGATAAAAGAGTGGAAGAGACTGAGCAAAAGTCATCATTGCAAAACACTGACTATCCTGTTAAACTACTTTAAACCTCAGTCTCCTCATCTGCAGACTGGAGATAATCATAGTCTCCAGTTTTTTGTTTGCCTTGAAGATTACCTGCATACTACATGGCACATGCTATGTATTCAGGAAACACAGCCATAATTACAATCCAATCCTTGTTCTACCCCTTTCACTCACCCACTGATTTTCTCATTTCTACAGTGGAGGAACCAATGAGATGTGTGTTCAAACCTTGCTCAAACTTCCTCCTTTGAGTTTCAGCTCAAATTCTACCACCTTATAGGAGCCTTCACCCCCGCCTGAGTGAGAATGAATGATTCCCTCTTCCATGCTCGTTAGCCAGAGCCTGACCCAGCCCTTATCTCACTTTCTCCTATCGTTGAGTTTGCTTTGTTTATATTTGTAGCATAATTTCCTAAAGGTGATGATTATTTGCCCCTATATAGTCACCTTATACAGAGCTGGAACTAAGTAAATGTATGAGCCTTGACCTGAATGAATTTTTTAAAAAAAACTTTTTATTGCTTTTTTTAAAAATATATTTTTATTGATTTCAGAGGAAGGGAGAGGGAGAGAGAGATAGAAACATCAATGATGAGAGAGAATCATTGATTGGCTGCCTCCCGCACACCTCCCCACTGGGGGTCGAGCCCACAACCCGGGCATGTGCCCCTGACCTGAATCAAACTTGGGACCCTGCAGTCCACAGGCCAGCGTCCTATCCACTGAGCCAAACAAGCGAGGG